TGAAAAAAATCAGTCAATGGTAATTAAATTAATGATTTATGACCTAATTAATCTCAAACTTTAATATTAAATAATTTTTTTTAATTATTAGTGTGAATTCTGGACACGAGCATTTGATCCCTCTAATGATAAAATTACATTGAAGATGCTCTATGAAAACCAATTTCTCAACTCAAATCCTTCTGATGCCTCTAGTTCAAGTAATGAATTTTGGTATTGCTTTCAACGTTCTATTGATGAAAATAAACGTGGTAATGATGGGAAAAGACGTATTTTATCAATAATTGCTGACCGATTCACTTATAATGAACTGCAGAGGAATTTAAATGTATGGTTTAAAATTGAAAATTTTCCTTTACAAAGAATTTCTAATTAGTCTTATTCACTAATTTTTATTTCTTAGGTTTCTTCCAAGACCATTTCTCATGCCAAGACTTATTTAATTATGAATGGACCAGGATGCCTGTGTATTGATAAACCAAAAATTACACGTACTCACATGACAAATGAAATGTTAGATCAATTTCAGTCATTTTTTTCAGATAAAAATAATGTAAATATGAGTTCATACAAGGTTGAACAAAAAACAGGATTACCTATACTTTACCTCAAAGAAAATAAAATATCCTTATGGAATAAATACCTTGAACTCTATCCGAATGGCATGAAAAGATCTAGTTTCATGGCCCGTTTGCAAAATGGACAATTCAAGTATCAAGAAGATTTAGGTGGATTGTGTGCAATTTGTAATGAATATGGTTATGAAATATTTTCTAACCTCCTAGAGTTGGTGAAAACAAAAGTTAGGAATGATAATCAGCAGGTTAGTGAAAAAAAAATATTTTTTTTTAAATTTGATTACCTTGAATTTCAGGATTTTTAAATTATTCAAATGAAAACTATTAGAAAATTTTGATTGGTGAGCTTGAATTATCCCAATGTCACTTAAAATTTGAATACGGAAAAGAGTTAAAATTTGATACATTAGGGAATACTTACCATGTGGATTGCATTCAACATTGTCTACCTTATGCATTTGGACAATGCTCACAATTACATCCAGAAACCTGTTCCAAATGTGAAGATCTAGAAAATTTATTTGCAAAACTAGTAACATTGCTACCTGAAGAGATAACTACTTTATTAGAAAATCATAAGAAATTGCAATGTTATTGGTCACATCAAGCAAGAAAAACTTACCTGAATGCTCAATTCAATGCAGCAATACTAACTTTGGATAAAGATGGAGCAATTATTGTTGTAGATTATAAAATGAAAGTGTTGCCAAAATCTGCACAAGAAGTAAAATCTGAATTTTTTGGGAAAAAAGGATGGACATTACATACTATGTTAATATATACAAAAGATGGTGATGATAAGATAAATATAAAAGCATTTGACCATTGATCCTCTGATACAATTCAAGATGCTTGGTTTACAGCCTCTGCTTTTGATGCTGTTTTCAATACACTAAAAACGAAACCATCTTGGATTAAAGTGTTATCTGATAATGGTGCTCATTACCATTGTTCAGAACTTATGTCAATAATTAGTCATTGGAAAGAATGGTATAATGTAGAAGTACGCCAGTGGATTTTTTTGGAACCAGGAGAAGCAAAAACAACAATTGACTCACACCATGCACAAGTATTTAAAAAAAATTTTTTCTTAATTTATTTTTACCTTTAGTGACATTATAAAATTATTTTATAGATTTCCCATGCCATAAAACGATATGTGAGATTGGGTTATGATGTAACAGAAGGTGAAGATATTGTAACTGCAGTGAAAGGTATTCATGGTACATCAGTGGCTAATATTGAACCAAATAGAAGTTCTGAAAAGAAAAAAAAACCAACTTTACCTGGAATATCAAATTGGTTTGAATTTCGGTGGCCAGTTGAAGGTGAATATGCAGGATATCTTTGTGCTCGCTCTTTACCAAATTTTGGAAAATGGAAAAACTTTTCTCCAGCTATTATTCAAAAAACAATGGATAATAAAATACAAGAAAAACCTACTCCAATATTATCTGATCACACCATTCTGACTTCTAAATGGATAATTCCAATGCCGAGCAATAATAGTAAGTAGTAATCTGTATATATGAATAGATAATTGATACTTTTTGCTAACAATATATAAATGATCACAGCTTCAAATCCTAGTCGATGGTCTATTGATAAAATTAAAGAAGAAATGGCAAAACGCAATATAAAAATTGATAATGATAATAATCGTGTTGAATTAGTAGCTCTTTTGCAGGAAGCAATTGATAATGAAACAAAAAAAAAAATTATAGGTATGAAATTTACATAACAGACAGAATATATATTTGTAGAATGTAAATAATTATTATACCTTTATTTGTAGAGGCAAAATTATCAATCCCACAAGAGAATGAGAATGAGGCTATAAATGATTTCAGCAAGGAGAAGAGTATAAAAAAATGTAAAAAAACATTAGATCATAATGATGTTGTAGAAAAAAATGATGTTGATGTGATCCAGTAAGCATTTTTAAAAATAGAATAATTTTTCAAACTCACCTTCAAAATTCACTAACAATAGGCTTTATTGATTTTCCTCTAGAGAGTTGATTATTTTGTGATAGGATGGGCATTGAAAGAAAACCAAGTATATGGTAAAAAGGGAGGTAAAAAACAAATTGGTGACAAAGTCAAAGAATATTTACAAATATACTTTCTTTCTGGAAATATGGATAGAAGTCAATGATTTTCTGCAAAAGATATGTTGCAAGGATTGGAAGAGCGAGTAGAATTTGGTGAACTTACTTCTGAAGAGCTGCCAACAATCAACAATTGAAGGAAGGATAAGTCGTTTTGCTGCTTCTCATAAAAAATCAATAGCACAGAAACTTTTAGAAGAGAGTCAAATAAAAATAAATGAATAATTAATAATTTAAAATTTTCATATTAATATACTTGCTTACTATAATTGTAGTTAAGAGTTTTAAAGTTATTTTCTAATATTATCAATGTTAAAGCATTCTAGAATTTATTATTTTGAAACAAATTCTTCATTTTTAATAAATTTGTATATTTAAATATATGAATTTTATACCCACAATCCAGGACCGCTCAGTAAATAACAGAACAGTGACAAATTTGATGCTCATACTTTCGTAAATAAATATAATATTTCACATTTGTTTAACATAGTTTGATATAAAAAATAATACATGTAACATAATAAATGTGTGACTTTTTGTGGGTGTGAAAAATTTGATTAATTTGATTTTACTATGAAATTTAAAAAATTTGCCCGGATCGGCACTAATTAAATCCTTTCCTTAATTGGTGGACCACGAAGTAAGTTATTATAGAGTATCCAGGAATTATTGGCACAAATGTCTTGCCTCTTTTATCTGACATGCCTTTGACTACCAATTGTTGATAAAATGAATTTAATAGAGCTGTATTTTGTTCAACAACTGCATGCTTTTCCATAACTTCCAAAGTGCATGTATCATCTCGAACCAACCAAACACCTTGACCTTCAAATGCCTTATATTGGGGATTTTGTTCACATAATTCCTGGTGCCACTTCATATTCTATTAATATATATGTATATATGGCTATCTTTCTCAGAATAAAAAATAAAATAAAATTTTAGTAAGAAATTTAAGTAAAAAAGTCTTTTATAAATATATATAGTAAGTTCAATAAGAGCATACTTAGTGTTTCCTATATGTTACTTAGTAATTTGAAAATATTTTTGAGCTTTAAGTTAAAAGAACTAAAATTTGTATATAATAATAAGTAGTTTTTTAATTTTGGAATAAATCTTGGAATTTCAGTAATCTAATTCATAAAATTGTGGTAATTATGTTTATTTTTACGCGTCTTACACATATTTTTTAAAATTGAACACACAAAAATTAGCCATTGTTGATCATATTAAATGTCACATGATTTCCCTCTACCCTTAATAATTTTGTTTCCAGAAAATTCAAAGATTTGTGACACTTTGAAAATCTTGCAATTTTTGGTAATACTAATACTAATACTAATTAATAATATAATAGTTTGATTGAACTGAGTGGCAAAGGTTATGTTTTTTTTGATATCTAAAATGTTTAATCAAAAACGAAATTTTGCATTATGTTATACATGATATTACATGTGTTCATGTGAAAATTCGTTATAGGAAGAGCAAATTAAATATGAAACTTCAAAAAAAGATGAGTTCCGATTCGTTATAAACAGATTTATTAATAAAAATTCGGTCATGCGATTTGGTTCACTATAGCCAGAGTTCGGTATAGCCAGGTTCGATATCAACTGTATATTAATATGAATTTGGAAGTAATCTATCTATGAAGTTTGCGGGGTACTGGCTAGACGTAAAGAGAGACAATCGGCAAAAACCTGCACGAAGTCGTACGACTTGCGGGTTTTGGAAGGAGACCGTGACACGGCAAATGTTTTTTTTATAAAATTCATTCTTTTTTAATTCACTCATTCATTAAGGAAAATTTTATAGTAAGGAGGCGATGACTATATATAATAAATGTAATTTATCATCATCGTCACATTTATTATATAGTTTGTATATAAATTATTTAAATTTTAACAAAAAAAAATTTTTCATCATTCTCCTATAAAAATTCCAAGTTTTTTTTTATTCTTTTCTCACTCTCATTCTTTTTTATCATCATCATTCTGTTAATCACATTTTGTAACTAATTTTCCCCTTTGAATTTTAAAAGGTTAGTAAGAAAAAAAACAATTGATTAGTTTTTTCTTCTAAAAAAAATTTTTTGATTTTTAAATGATTTTTACCAAAAAAAATAGGACAAAAAAAAAAATACCCAAAAAAAATGTTTCATTGATATTTAGGTTAATTTATTTGTTTATAGTAAAACATTAACTAAAGTTGAAGCAAAGAAAAAAAGAATCCATAATCATAATCATAACATTAATATTAATAAACGTCATAATCATATTTTTAAAGTGAATAATTTTTTAAAGAAAATAATGAAAAGTCCAAAATCAACACTTATTGGAAGTAAACAAAAGATCCTAAGGTTATTCACAAAGAATTCAAATGAAGATCAAAGAAACAACAGAGGAATAAATAATAATGGTAGTAGTGATAGTAATAATTGTAGACGATCTATTGCTATATCTTCGTCATCATCATCTATCAATTTCAATATTAATTGTAACAATATTGTAGCAAGATCTAAAGCTGTGAGCACTACCATCACCGCAACCACTGCTACAAAAAAACTATCATTAACCAATATTACTTCTATTAATAATATTACCACAACCATAAATAATAATAGTATCACCATGACCACATATAATAAAAAGGATAATATTCTGGATGATGTAGATGAAGGATTCTATACATTAGATGAAAAGGCTCCAAAAATTGGTAAAAAAATCAATGTTAATAATAATTTTATGCTTTGAAGTATGATCATCATACATGATTTTCAATGTAATTTTGAAAAATCTAGTTTGATGATGATGATCTCAACACTAAAAATTATAATGATAATGTTTTATTATTATAATGATTTTTTTTGTTTAGATTTCTTATCAAAACTTCCTTATGAAATAGCATCATATATATTGTTATATGTTGATTTTCAAACATTATGTAGAATGTCACTTGTATCTTGCACCTGGTGTCATATATCAAGGGACAATGAAATATGGCGTAGAAAGTTTTTATCAAATGAAGGATGGAAAGTAAATATTCCAAAAAAAATTTTCTTCTCAGGTGAGATTGATTGGAAGTCATTATATAAAATTAAATATACCCTATTATTAAAATGGAAAAGGGGTGAATGTGAAAAAAGGTATTTGAAAGGTCATGCAGATAGTGTCTATTGTATTCAATTTGATGATCAAAAAATAGTTACTGGATCAAGAGATAAAACTGTCAAATTTTGGGACATCAATACTGGAATTTGTTTCCAGACATTACATGGACATGACCTTTCAGTATTGTGTTTACATTATAATGATAAAATAATGGTAACTGGATCAAGTGATGCTACCATAATTATTTGGGATTTGAGTAATCTTGAAAAAATTTTAAATAATAATAAAAATTGTAGTATTTGTAGTAGTAATTGTGGTATTAGCAGTAGCAGTAGTAGTTCCAATTTCAATAATCCTAACAGTAGAGATGTTGATAATATTCAAAGTATTAAACAGATCATGAGACTGAATGGACATTCAGCTGGTGTTTTAGATATATGTTTTGATGATAGAAATATTGTATCATGTTCAAAAGATAGCACAATCAAAGTATGGAATGTTATTACTGGAGAATTAAAGAGGACATTACATGGCCATCTTGGTCCTGTGAATGCTGTACAACTTAAAGATAGCAGAATCATATCAGCTTCAGGTGATGCATTAATAAAATTATGGGATTTAAATACTGGTGAATGTATAAGAGATTTTGTTGGTCATACACGTGGACTGGCATGTGTACAGTTTGATGGTAGGTGGGTGGTGTCAGGATCAAATGACAGAACCATCAAAATATGGGATGTGGAAACTGCTCAGTGCATACGCACACTTAAGGGCCATACTGATCTGGTGAGAACATTACATTTTGATGAGAATAAGATAGTCAGTGGAAGTTATGACCAAACTGTTAAAGTATGGGATCTTAAAACTGGCAAACAATTATTGGATTTTCATGAAGGTCATACCAGTTGGGTGTTTGATGTACAATTCAACAGAACCAGAATTGTTAGCACTAGTCAAGATAAGAAAATATTAGTGATGAATTTTGCTGAAGATTTGGACACAAAATATTTATTATGATGATATATATATATATATATAGTAGAATTATTTATTTATAAAACAAATTATCAACTTTTATCTTCTTTATACACTCACTTTAATTATTTTGTAATTTACAAAAAACCTTTAATTTTCGAAAAATCAATCAATTCTTTCGTTATTTTTAATTTTAGTTTTAATTTTATTTTATTCATCTTTTATATAACGTTTATCTTTTTTATGTAAACCTTTCTTGTAACATAACCAGAATTATTAATAGTTTGCGCTAACCAAATCTCTGCGGCGCAGGATCTGCGCGCGTACATAATTTTTATTAAAAAAATAAAATAAATATTAAAAATGTACATCTACAAAAGCACGAGTTACCAGATGTGATGAATGAAATTAGTGAAGACAGGGTCACCATTAAAAAGAATTTGATTTAAGTGATGATGAAGATGCTTATTATGGTTTTGATGAAATGTAGCAGTGAAGACTCGGAAAGTGAAAATTCACAAAGCGATTGTGAGAACGATGAAATTGATTCAAACAATTCCATTGAGAATAATAATAACTACAACGGTAATAATAATGAGGACATCAAGCATAAATATTGTAGCAAGAATCAAGAAAGGATTCGATTCAAATCCTCAAAATGATTCCCCAAAATACCGATGACAACCTCAATCATGATAATATCAACCAATAAGAGCTACGCAAACAAAGCAAGCTTACAGGGAAAAGCTTGCGGTGGATCCATCATATGTTCCTAGATTTGGAGATTTTTGGGTCATGATGACCGATTTGTCAAAGCAGAAGTTAAAATTTTTCACAAACTTAGAAAGTTCCTATATGACTTTTGATAGTTTATAAAAATTGTTAACATTAAAGAATCATCATCGCTTTTAATACAAAATATTATTAATGTAAAGCACACAGTAATAATAATATCAAATAGGAATAAAGGGTGGGGACTCAAAAATCCCTCAACAGAAGGTCAATGGGGTTCATGACAGGTACGAGGAACTAATACGTATGGAGGATAATTTTCAGCCAGTAAATAGTATTCTCATATTTATTTCTTCTATTTTAAAGAAAAGTTAAATTAGGTATATATAGCAAATTGTCGTTGAAGTAGAGAAAACATCTATTGTTCACATTGCTTTAAAAGTCTTTTTTGAGCTTTGATTTCCAAAACGACATAGGTAAAAACAATATTTTTATTAAAAAAAGGAATAAAATACTTTAAGATGTTTTATATAATTATTTATAATTAATTCACATATTAAGCCCATTTTTTTTATTAAATAATATCTTCGGTATAAAAACACAGTTCATTTTTTCTATAACGAAATATATATCATACACTTCCTGGTCATAAATATAAGGACACTTGCAGATCATCGGAAATAATTGAATAAAGAAACACGAAAAAAAATAAAAATTTTATTAACCTAACCGCATTTGCTTATTAAGTAAAAATTCATCTTCATATCAAATAGTATA